GCGTTTTGCTTTGAAACTACCACTGCAACAGTCGTTTTGTCTATGATTTGTTTTAGTGACAAATACCTACAAATTTTTCTGAGAATTCCAATTTTCAAATCACGTTCAGTCTTTCCAGACAATTGTCAGTGTTAACCTTGATAAAAACATGATAACGCTGGACATGGACGAATAAATTGTTCTCTTATACAATAGAATACGTAAGAATATATAAGATCCCTTGACAGAATTGCATTTGGAAATAAAATTCTTCAATGGACCAGTAAAGAATTGAGCTTCGCAGAGGTGTGAAGCAACAAGATATCTTTTCTCCGAAGGCTTTCACGTGTGCACTGGAAGGAATTTTGTGGAAAATGAAGATTAAGCAGGTCCAACACGATACTGTAGAAATTTATATGCTTCTTTTCATGAATAATGAGAAGCTGACAGCGCGGAACTCTACAACCCGAAGAGCTAGGGAACTGAAATTTTAGGAGAATATTCTGTGTGATCTTACAAATTTAAATTCAGCATTCACGCGCGGCTGAGTCTGACTTTCGGACACGATAATGTTTTGATTGGAAATTCGCAAATTTGCAACTAAGTAAGAAAGAACACTGAAATTTCAGGGCGATATTTTCTGTTAGTGTGCAGCCTTGCAAAGTCGGCTTCCATATACGCTTATATCCGAGCCGGGACGTTTCATAAGTAAAATTCACTTCGTGAATTTTACATGGGAAACGTTCTGGCTCGTGAAACAGACACGAAAGAAAGCTGAAGTTTAGGAGGATATTTTCTGCCTATATGTTACCCTGGAAACTTAAATCAAGCTTCTCCACATGCCTACGTCTCACATACGGATGCGTGAAATTCCAAATGAGAAGTTACTAGTTATTTTTCGAGCTCCACTGGACAAAATTACTCAAAATGCTTGATCGCACGGGCATTCATTTTGCTTGCATTCAGTAAAGTTTTTTAGGGTGCTCCAGTGGTGTATGTTTCACCGGCTCTACATGTCGACCTTACTTCTTATCTGGCTACCGAATTTTTTATCAGTGATGTAGTCGTTCTGAAGAAATCATCTGGACACTTGGCTGACATTGAAGCTCGAATTGTACGATTTATTTTGCATTTTATATAATTTTACTGCCCCATTCGCTAGTTTGATTTCCGTAACTGTTTTGCTGCTGACGGGCACAGCTCAGTGACAACTAACATTGCTCTCGTGCTGAAGATCGGGAAAGCGGAAGCTTCTACTCTGCAAGTGGGAAAGCCATTCTTCTGCGATTTCTTCACTAGTTTCGATGGTAATCTGGCGCTACCGCATGCCAAGGAGTCGCCATCACCTCGCTCTTAAACAGTCTTCGGAAAAGGAAGTCATCGAGAGCTTTGCCAGCCGATAGTTATTGTTTATACGAGCTATCCGCTCGAGTTCTTCCGAACGCCTTAGCCGCTTACAACGAACGAATTATACGGCGTTTTACATTAGTTTTTGGTCTCTTTTCCCAACTTCTTGCTGTTCCGTTGCTTCCTAGTCCAGCCATATTATGAGTGGAGTTCCTCTGTTTTAATGATCTATGCCCGGCCTAAACTTCGTAATTCCGTAATGGCAAGTTTGATTTTAG